GCCCTTCGCCAGCCAGCTCGAGGCCCGAGCCCAGCAGCAAGCCGTGGAGAGGGCGCAGGCTGCGAGGCAGCGAGTCGAGGAGGAGCATCCCCGCCAGCATGCGCGGGCAGCCAGCTCGCGGGAAGGAGGTGCGGCAGCGGCGGCAATGCCGGCGACTGAAGCGGGCGCAGCGGCGGCGGAGGAGCCCGCGGGCCTCCCTCGCCGGGCCCGATGGAGTTGGAGCTGCGCATGGGCGAAGCAACAGCAGCGGCCTCGCTGGGGCCCGGAGCCAGCATGCTACTCCTAGACACACTGCTGGAGGACCCGTTCGCAGACGTCAATCTTAAGTCGGGCCGGGCTGGGCCCTGATGCGGGGCCGCGGGACCGAGGGCGCTGCGGCCGCCAACGGGCGTTCGACTGGTGGGGCCAATGCCGCAGCGGAGGGCGGTTCTTGCACTGCTGCCGCACTTGCGAGTGCACGGGTGGCAAGAGGCACGGGCCGGCGCTGCGACGCCGCGCGCGGCTCGGGAGCGGTTTCCCTGGGGGGGGGGGGGGCGCCGCGCCGGGCAGCGGAGGAGCGGCCAGCTCACGCTGGCGCAGAGCTCGCGAGGCGCCAGAGGATGAGAACTGGGGAAGATGGGCGCCCGGAGGGCCCACCCCGGCCGAGGAGGCGGCAGCGGCGGCGGCGGCGGCTACGACAGCAGGGGAACAACCAGTATAGCCGCGGCAGCATCAGCCAGGCGCCCGCGCCTCACCCCCGGCTGCCCCCGCTAACGCAGCGCCCCCGGCGAGCGACGGCGCCCGGCAAGTACGCTGGCGCGGGGTGGGCCGTGGGAGCGGCGAGAATGATGGGCGCGGCCTCTCCGCTGACCCACCCGGAGGTGGAGCGTCTGCGGCCGCCGCCCGACGGCTGCCAGCAGCTGTCGAAGGAGGAGGTGGCCCAGCCGAGACGCGAGGAGAAGGGGGCGAGGCGCGCGGCCGCGGCGGCCGCGGCAGAGCTGGCAGAAACAGCAGGGCGGCGCGAGCAGGAGGACCAGCAGCAGGGAGAGATGCCGAAGACGCGCAATAATGAAGCGCCCGTCATCTGGCAGCGCGCGAGGACCCCTCCGGCCGGGATCAAGGCGGAACCTGAGTCGGAGGAGGAGGACGTGGAGGTCGCGACGCCCGTGGGCCCGCCGAGCGCCACGAGCTCGATCGCGAGGGTTGCTGCTGCCGCGAGGAGCGCCGCGAGCCCTCGTCCGGGGGCTGCTGCTGGCGCGAGGCGCGGAGAGCGCGCCGCCGCTGGAGGGGCGGCGTGGGCGGGGTCCGACAGCCACGAGGGGCGGCGCGATGGCCGGGGGGGGCAGGGGGGCAGCTCGACGAGCACCAAGGCCCCCCCCCAAGGCAGGCGCAGCCACGCGACCGCTCCATGCGGGGCCAGGCCGCTGATGGGGATCGCGCGCAGCTACCGGGGCCTGGCGCGACGCATCCAGGCGCGGCAGGAGGACGCAGCGCTCGCCGAGCGAGGTTTCAGCCCTGCGCCCCAGGCCCGAGGAGAGGTCGAGAAGAGGAGGGGGAGGTCGAGGTCGGAGGGCCGCGGGCGCAGGGAAGCGGCGCTGTCGGCGCGCCCGCGCACAGGCCGCAGGCGCGCAAGCGCCCCTGCGCGCCGGGCCCCGCCCCCGGTTCCGGACAGGAGAGAGCTTGGACAGGGGAGCAGGGGGGATCCGGACTGCAAGCGGGGCGCCGACGGGGCAAGCGGGGGGGGGGGCGAGCCGCGGCCGGAGGACGGCCCCGGCTCGCCGAGGCCCCCCCGCCCCCTTGCCCGCCGCGCGGAATGCCAGGACTGGGGGCACGAGGCGCGACGCGGATGCGAGAGGTGCGGGGGCGTGGTCTGCGAAGGCTTCCACGAGGAGGAGCGCGGCCGCGACCGCCCGAGGTGCCAGTGATCCGCGCTGGGCGCGCTGAGCGAAAGCGGGTCCGAGGCGGGCAGGAGGGTCGCAAACGAGGAGGCGCAGAGCAGCGAGCAGGACAGCCCGCCAAGTGGTGGGGGCCCGACGAGCAGGAAGGGGCGGTCGCCGCCGTCCAGTCCGCAAGAGGCAGAAGGCAGGGTGTTAGAGCCCCTGCCCATGCCTGACTCGGAGCGCAGGAGCCCCGAGGAGGAGGCTGCCACCAGACTGGCAGCGCTGAGGGCACGCGCGGTGAGGATCGACCGGGAGGCCCAGGGCTCAGCGGGGCCAGGAGCCGCGGGCGGCATCGACCCAGCGTCCCCGCGGCGCTACCTGGAGCACACGGAGGGCGAGGCGTCGAACGGCCTCGGGGCATACCTGGCGCCGCTGGCCCGGAGGAGTCGGGGCGACAGCAGGCGCAGCAGGCCCCTGGAGCGAGAGGTGGCGCAGGCGCAGCTGGAGCGGCTGGTCAAAATATGGGAGATAGGGGTACCCCGAGCAGAGGGCAGGCCGGCTGGACCGGGCTCGCGCGGCGCTGATGCCAAAGGAAGCAGAGGGGCGCAGGGCGGAAGTTAACGCAAAAGGCGCGAACGTTGAGCCGACGGTCAGCCAGCCGGCCAACCTTCTGGGGCCGGGGGGCCGTGCTCGCCAACGCCGAGCCCGACGACCTGATCTTCGCGGACCTGAAGACGCCAGAGGACTGGGGGAATGCCAAGCTGGAGATCATCCTGGACACGCTGGCAGGCCCCGCCATCAAGTCCTACAGCCTGGGATGGCGCTGCCGGTCACTCTTCTGCAAAGCGCGCGGCGCTGGCCCGCCGCGGGAGGTCGCCGCGTCTAACAGAAGGGCGGAGGAGGAGCTGCCACTGGACTTCGCGCGCACTTGTCGAGGCGTGGGCTCGAGAAGGCAGGCGCGATCAAGCAGCGTCTCAGCGCTGTGAGGGCGCAGCGCCCGGCGCCGGGCATGGGCGGCCTCGCGGCGGGGGCAGGGCGACTCTGGATGGCGATCGACGGGTTCAGGCGGCGCGACGGGGCGCCCGCGAGTAAGAAGCCCGTCGCGCCTCGCACGCGCGGCGGATCGGGGAGGAGTTGCAGCCGGAGAAGTCGCGCGCAGGAGCGGCATTGTGGGCGGCAGTCGCCACGGGCTACTTATTCCTGCCGCGGGCCAGCGAAAGCGTGTCGAGCGACCAGAACGGCTACACGGGCAACAAGGGCTTGCGCGAGTTGACGTCGCGCCGAAGGCAGCGGGCGAGCCACGCGGCGGCTGGCGAGCGGCGGGCGAGGCGGTCGGCAAGACCCGGGCCAGCAAGACCGACCAGCACAACCGCGGGGAGCGGCGCAACCGCCCCAAGGACGAGGCGACCGCAGAGACGGAGGCGGAGGCCCACATCTGCGCCGTGGAGGCCGCGACCGCCTACAGAGGATGGGCGAGGGAGCGGCTCTCGGGCTGCAGGATACACGGCCCGCTGTTCGCGCGCGACGACGACCGGCTGGTGGCCGGGCGGGCGCCCAGCGGGCGGCGACGCAGGCGGCGATGGCAGAGGCAGCCGACCCGAACGACCTGGGTTCCCGCAGCTTGAGGATCGGCGGCGCGTAAGCCCTGCGCTCAGAGTGCAACGGTACGGCGCCGGTGCAGCGGCAGGGGCGCTGGAACAGCGATGCCTTCCCAGGGGTATCCCTGGGGGGCGAGGGGCGTGGCGCAGGGCGTGGCAAGCAGCATGGCGGCCGCCGACCTGGCCATGGTCTGAGGAGGTGCTGGGCGGCGGCGGATAAGAGCCCAGATGCTCAGTGCGCAGGGGCAGACCCATGGGCTGCGGCGCGGGAGCGAGGCCCGTGAGGCTTGGAGAGGCGCTGCTCAGTCGGGCGTTGCAGGCGCCAGAATATGTCAGGAGTGCTTGGTATCGCCGGGCCCGGCACCCCCTCTATAATGCAGGCGGGGGCTCTGGAGGGGGGCCCCGCGGCCCGCAGAGAGGCGGAACGCATGGGAGCTCAGGGGGGATCAGTGGCCCGCGCTGCGCGCGGCCACGAAGCTCGCGCCACGCGGCCAGGCGACGGCCGCAGGCGCCCGCAGGGCAGGAGGGAAAGAGCGTTTTCCCCCCCGCCTAATGTCTGAAGAGAAGGAGGTGAGGAGGAGGAGGAGGAGGAGGATGAGGAGGGGGAGGGAGAAGGGGGGGGAGGAGGAGGAGGATGATGATGACACGCCCGCGGACGCGGGTCGCCCCCTCGGGGGCCGCCGCGCACGAGCGCCCGCGGCCGCGGGCACTCAGCGCGGCACTCAGCGCCTGCGACTCGTCGGGCGCTGCCAGAGCCGCTGCGGCCTAACCCCTCGCCGCGCAGGGGGTAGTGCGGCTGGGGCGGCGCGCCCCAGCCGCCTCCGCGCCGCCCCTGGGAGGCACCTCCAGGGCCACAGGCGCCGTGCAGGAGGTACTCCACGTAGTACCCCTCGTATGAGCGTCAGCTGCTCCCTGCGTCTCGACAGGTGCTGCCCACATCCGCTGCGGCCTAACCCCTCGCCGCGCAGGGGAAAGGCGGCTAGGGCAGGTCGCCCCAGCCGCCTCCGCGCCGCCCCTGGGTGACACGTCCAGGGCCACTGGCGCTGCACAGGGAGTGCTCCGCGTAGTGCCCCGCGTCGCGACGCCAGCATCTCCCTGTGACTCGTGGGGCGCTGCCATGCGCCACCGCGGCCTAACCCCTCGCCGCGCAGGGGACATGCGGTGTGGGCAGAGCGCCCCAGCAGTCTCCGCGCCGCCCCTGGGGGAAACATCCAGGGCCACAGGCGCTGTGCAGGCCGTACTCCGCGTAGTACCCCGCACGCCGCCCCTGGGAGACACATCCAGGGCCACAGGCTCTGTGCAGGGAGTACTCCTCATAGCGCCCCTCGTCGTAGCATCGGCAACGCCCTGTAACGTGTCGGGCGCTGCCGCCATCCGCTGCGGCCTAACCCCTCGCCGCGCAGGGGAAAGGCGGCTAGGGTGGATCACCCCAGCCGCCTCCGCGCCGCCCCTGGGAGACACATCCAGGGCCACAGGCGCTGTGCAGGCTGTACTCCACGTAGTACCCCACCTCGTAACGCCATTAGCTTCCTGGAGTGCGCCCTCAGACGCAGCTCTCCGACCACGTTGCCCCTGGCTGGGCGCCGCCATGCCTATTGGCTCGGCTCTTCTTCTCGAAGAACTCCTCGTAGTGCTTGCCACCGCAGCCGCTTCCTGGCCTCGGAGGCTGCCCGTGTTCTCTGCGCGGTCTCGAGCAGCATGGTTCCCGCTGTGGTTGCCGCTGAGCGCCTGGGCGCCCATGATTGCCTTCAACGTCTGCTTCTCGAGATCCCCGCTTGCCCTTCCCATGGGATTCGGCCCATGGTCCTTCTGCCCGCTCTCAGCTCGTCGTCCCGATGCCGCCTGAAAGAGTGCCCAGAGACTTGGCTGCCTTGCTCGTCCTCTCTGCTGCGCACCTCCATCATTCGGTTGAGGCCCTGCTCCTGCCTCCTTTCCGCCGCGACCGCTCGGCTGGGGCCCTGCTCCTGCCCCCTTTCCGACGCGGTCCCTGGCGAGACCGACGTCTCCGTCATGTGGTTGAGGCCCTGCTCCTGCCTCCTTTCCACCTTCGCTGCTCGGATGAGGCCCTGCTCCTGCCTCCTTTCCGTCTTGGCTGCAGCGTGCGCCGTCATCATCACCGACTCCGTCTTCAGCGACTGCGGGTAGGTGATCGCCATGCTGTTGTACCACGGGGGGCATTCCATTGACTTGGCGACACTGATGTGCCTCAGGCGCGCTGGCCGCCAAGGACTCAGTGGGCGCCCCCGCTCCCATGCATGCACTACCCCCTTGTTGAGGATCTCCATGTCGCGTGCGTCCGAGTATCGTGTTGTTGTCATCGTCCTGCTCGCGCTTTGCCTTTTCCTTTGCCTTTATTCTTTCCATCATTGCTGCCATCTTGTGCTCGTACCCCGTGACCTCCGCCAACGCCACAGGTCGGCTGACACAGGTCTTCGAGACTATCGGGGGCAGGGTCATGGCCATGAGCTTGCACAGGGGGATCGTCAAGTCCATGTGCCTCGCCAGCGTCTTGTGTGGGCCTAAGCCCCGCCGTAGATTCGTCAGAACTTCTATGCCTTGTCTGGTTGGTGGCTTGCACTGCCTTCGGAGTTTCTGCCGTCGACGTTGTTGTGCCCATGCACCGCAGCCTACGCAGACAAAGACCGTGGGCACCGCGTCGTCGCTGAGCCCGTCACCCTTCTGGTTCACCGCCACGAGGTGATGTCCGAGTGGTTGGTTGAGGAAAGCCTTGAGGAAGGTAGGGGTGCCAGCGCAGCCATTGAGCATAACTTCCATCCCTGGGCTGTTGAGCTTCAAGCACGCCTTGCATTGAAGACCGAAACTTCCTTCCTCCCGCTGGTGCCATCCATCGGCGCGCGTACTCCTTACCCTCTTGACTTGGGCAGCTCTCCTTGTCCATCGCTCTTGCCCATCACGATCAAACAAGGGTAGCACGGCCGCTACCAACTGCGCGAAATGTTTGATCCTCACAGTGGCCGTGTCGATAGCCATCGCGAAATCCTCGCTGATGGTTGCATGCATCGCCGCACCAGCTTTGGCTCGAACGTCCGCATAAACATTGGCATCTGTGATCCTCCTTGTGGCCACATCCAGGCCAGCATACTCCGCTCCCGAACGGTGTGCCTTCACGTGCGTCACACTGCGGAGGAAATGGAATCCAGGAAGGCTCTGAGCAAACATGGCCACGCACGCGTATGCCGACTTGGACCGTAACTGCTGCTCGTGCGTGAGAGCCGCCAGTCTGACCGTGCCCATGAAGTCCGCGTATCCGTTGGTAGGTCGGTCTGCCACCTGTCCTGTGTACGCGTAGGCTAAATACTCTGCCATCGCCGAGGATTGCGGAAGCGAAGCTGGCACTGGTGCGTGCATCGTACATAGTACTTTGTCCGAATGTGGATCCATTAACGCGATAGCCCATCCAGCACGTTGTAGCTTCAGGATATCTGGCTTCGTGCAGCTCCCGTCGAAAGAAAGCTCCATCTCCAAATCCGTCTCAGCCAGCACTGTCGCAGCCATGGTCTCGGGCGTGCAATCGAAATCGTTGCCATCACCGTCGAGAATCACGCTGCCAGTGCCTAGTTGCATTTCAGGGGTTTCCCACTCAGGATATGCGAAAGCCCCTTGGGTGACGACACGATCATCTGGCGCTTGGCGTAGCTCCTGAAGGAACGACTCGGGGATTCCAGCTTCATGTCGTGCTTCCACGACTTCTGGACGAGTGCACTCCGCCAGCCTATGCACCAGCGTGTCCTCGTCCCCACACTCGCACTTGCCGTCCGTTAGGTATCCTTTCTCCTTCGCTTTTTGACGTGTCCATACTCCATCACAAGCGCAGTTCATGATACAGAATTTCTGGTATTTGTTGAACTTCCTGGACTTGACGTGTCGCCGAAGGATATCGAAGGTGACTCGTGTGTAAGGCTGCATGTCCCACTTCTCCGCAAGTGCCTTCTCATGCTGCACTGCTGGGCCTTGCCGCAACATCATTTCAAGAAGGCCAGGGGTGAGTTGCCCCACATGCACCTCATCGCCTCGATGGTTGATCCAGAGGCACCCTGTACGCGTTTGCCACCCAGCTCGTTGTACTGAGAATGCTGCACGCTGAAGGGGACCACGTGTTTTACTCCACTGCTTGACTTCTCCAGGTTCGGTAACTGCCCTTCTCCACCAAGCTTCCAGCAATTCAAATGGAACAGCTGCGGTATCAGGCCTGGCTGTGGCGGCCCATGCCATCCTTGACCATTGGAGGGCAGGAGCCAGTGCTTGGGTGGCAGCGGGGTCGCCTAGCAGCACCAGCTTCGCGCTCGCGGAGGTGCCGCCGTGGTTGGGCTTAACGTGCTTGTTGTACTCCCGCCTTAACTGCAGTAGCTCCACGTCGTTAACCCCGTTGACCTCCACCCCGAACGTGTATGCAGGCCTCGCACCAACGCGGTATATCTTCCCAATTCTCTCCGTCTTTTTGCCAACGAGCACCTTCTTGGACTTCCGTAGCTTCCTCAGCCTTCTGCCATACGCATTCTGTCTTGCCCGAAACTTCCCGCGCGTACCTTTGACATTCCGAGCCCTGCCTCCAGAAACGTCAGTGCCCAGATACGCCGTACTCTCCAAGCTGATCTTCAAATCAAGTTGAAGTCGGCGACTGACTTCATCACTTATAGCTTTGGTGCTCGCAATGATGGCAAGCTTCTCGTTGATGCTGGCCCCTAGTGCCCGTGCAACCTTGAAGAAGCCTTTGGTAGCATCCACCGCCTGGTCAATCACCCTCTGCTTGCAACTGCTGTTGACGCCAAGCGCTGTGTCATCAATGTAGGAAGCGAAACGCACCAGCGGATGCAAAGTCGTGTACATGTCGTACTGTTCGACGGCGTGAGCCTTTATCACCACGTCTGCATACGCATCGCCTGCTGGAAGCCCTGCGTTCGCATGCCTTGGTGCTCCTCCGTGGTGGAGTCGCAGTCGTATGATCCTTGGCCCCTTCCATTGATTGTATACCACCTTGGCCATTGGGACTGGCATGCCTAGGCGCATCAATTTGTCGCGCGCCTGGTCCAATCCGATCGTCTCGTAATGCTTGCTATAGTCTGCGACAATCGTGACCACGAACCTGTTCTGACATACATTCTGCTCGTTGTCCGCTGCAAGGATCCACGCACTGTCAACTGCGCTTCTCCCCGATGCCGCTCCCCAGTAATTGCGGTTCAATCTCTGCTGGATCATGTCGAGCCCAGGTCTTCTCATCTTTTGCCATACTCTGTAAGCCGCCGAGTACAGAATGATCAACCTGTGTCCTCCAGCAGCTTTGGGCAACATCGGCATCACCATCCACGTCAGTTGAATGGGAAAAACTCCGATCGCCTCCACCGCCTGGAAGATGTCGCAGAGGCCCTCCAGAGACTCATCGCTCAGGTGCTGAAAGTGCGACGGGTGGATGCCGTCCAGGCTGCTCGAGGTCTTCGTGGTGAACTCCTTCGACGCTGCTCAGATCATGCCTGGACTAGGTCTATCCATGGTGCTGCGATCAGGTACCCAGACGTGCGGTGCCTCCTCAGTCGCCTGCCAGAGTTTGTGGTGCTTGGCTTCCATGTCCAAGACAATCTGGTAAGGGTGTCCGCTCATGCCGTCTGTGGTGGTCTTGCATACTACCGTTGGCGCCTGCACACTGTTGATCTTGGTTGCACGATGGAATCGCCCAGCGCCTCCCGCACATGCAATATCGCACCAGTCCTTCCAGCGAGCAGCACTATCTCGGTCTGCCTGCTGCTTCGCATACTCAATATCTCCTTCGCATTCAGCAAGAGATTCATGTAGATCTTCGCTGGATGTTGAGACATGACCAATCAACCGTCTTGCTCGTGTGACAGAAGCGTCTAGACGATGATTAACATTTTGGCCCGCATAATCGGTCTCCAGGAAGCCTTGGATTTCATCAGCGAGTTGCCTTTCTTGCTCTTGGCCTCTGCCGTTCTTGAGCATAGCGATCCCTCTGACTGCATCTGCAAGCCATTGCCATCCATCAGCGACTGCCTGGATACCTTCAGCGTCTTGTCCCTCATATGCATAAGATATCCACTTGGGTCGGATCATACCCTTGAAGTGCTCTGGTGCCTTGATGAACGTGCCCGTGATGTGGCCAAGCCTTACTGCAGCCTTGCACGCCCAGAAGCCCCAAGCTCGTGATAGTACCTTCCACGCCACTGCTACTGGAGCAACCGCTGGTTGGCGGGACGCTTCTGCAACATAGCTCCGCTCGAACTCCCAGTCGGCGTCGTACCACAATGGGCCCACAACTATGTCAGGTGCAATCTTGGTCCCTCCAACGTATGTAAGGTATTGCATTGTCGTTCCTTGGCCACATAGCGATAGCTGGACAGGTCGGTGCGGTGTCTTATGCCATGTCTTGTCCACCTGGCATTTCCTCATGAGCCTCATGGCTCCAGAACTTAGGGCGAATAAATCAATCGTTGTTGCGCTGGTCGGTCCCCTGCATGTGACCTGGCCTGGGCTGACAAGCCCGACTTGTGCATGCACTGGGAAACCCGATGCCTCAACCTCCTCGATCGACATATTCCAATCGCCTCCTACCACGCATGGGTACTGTTGTCCTGCCATAGCGAGCCCTACGTTCATGAGGATCCTGGCATTCCTCGTCGTCATGCCCTCGGCCGTGTGCAGGTAAATGTTGAAGACGTTGAGTGGTGGCCATCCTTCCAACTCCACGAGCACGTGCTGCGCTCGATGGGCTACCAACTCAGACCCGAAGGCAATCTGCTCATTCGTCTCGCTTTGTCTTCGAGCCGCCGTAGGTGCAGGATACTCAGGGCCTCGTAACCCCACGCCTTCCCTTGCGAAAATAGCTAATCCGCCTGACGGGAGATGTCCATCAGTAGGCTTCCCAGGAATAACCATCATCTGCCACTTGCGGGAGCTAGCCCATGTACTGAGTGCTTCGCATTCCCAGTCATAGTGTCCTATTTCTTGCGCTAGAACAACCAGCGCACGAGTCCTCTCCAATCGAAGCTTAAGCGTCCGCTTTCCTTGACTGGCATTGAAGGTCTCGAACAAATGCTCGCTCACCATGGATACAGGCGCAGGGACAGCACATGTCTTTCCACGACGTACGAGAAGCCCACTTATTCTCGGCAGGGTGCTAGGATTTACACCCTCCTGTTGGTACTGCGGACACTTCATCTGTTTTCCGAAACTTGGTTTTCTGGATATCGGCCACCATGTCGGATAGCTGGTCCATGGAGATGTCGTTGCCTTGTTCTCCCTTGCATAGCTTGGTATGAAGAGCTTCGACGTCCTCCGTGGTCCACTGGATGCCGTTGGCCCGCTTGGAGGACTCGCCGTTCTCGCCATTGGTGTTGCCTTCGCCTCCGCTACTTGACCCATCAAGGCCGTCGTCAGAATCAGGGCCAACAGGAACTTGCGTTCCATTACTTGACGCAGGCGACTTGGGGATGGACACCTCCAGCTTCCTCTGCGCCAGCTTTTGCAGCTTCTGGAAATTGGCGTCAGCACGGCACTGGTGATAGAACTGCAGCAGTCCTGGATCCTCCTGGAAGTCCGTGAGGTTGACGTCGAGCACCATGATATCCTCGGGGTTGATCGGACCAGCTTCATCGGAAGCTTCGCCTCGGGCAACTTGAACTTGCCGCTGATGACGCTCTGCCTCCGCTTTGAACTGCTCAACCTCGACTTTCTTCGCCCCGATCGATGACGACTTTTCCGAAATCTTCTCCTGCAGTCGTTGAAGCTGCAGCAGCATCTCCTCGTGATCCTTCGTGGGCTTGTCGAGCTGCGTTCTGCTGCGCTCCAGCTTCTGCGACGCCAGCTTGCGCGCCGTTGCTGGGGGCCGCAGGTCGCGGATCTGCTCCCTGAGCTTGTCAATCTCTGCCTTGTGGTACGCGTGTGCCGCGCCATCCTGCTCTTCATATTTGACAGCTTCCTTGAGGGCGCGCTCGTGATAGTTGATCTTCTCCTGCAGGGCCGTCCTCTTGGCGAAGCTGGGGTCCTTCTCGTTCTTCTCTTCCGTGACCTGGTGCTGGTCGCCTTCCGACCGAGTCCATGGTGTGGGGCCACTCTTGCCGACGAGACTCCGCAACTTCGCGAGCTCTGCTTCCATGAGCTTGAACTTGGAGCACCAAGGGGCGGGCTTCTCGGAGAGCCCGCTTCCTCCTGCTCGCTTTGACGGTGCATCACCTGCTCGTGCAGCAGCATCTGCCTTCTTGGCCGCGTTGATGATGCGCTGGGGCGCATGCTTGCCACAGGTGCACTCGATGCGGCACGCCCAATTGCCGTCCATGCCACAGGAGCAGCTCCAGTATGGCTTCTTCGAACCTCGTAGCACCCTCTGCCGCGGCTGCTGCTCCTGCGCTTTGGCCGGCGCTGGCGCCATAGCCCCTGCTGAGGAGCCGTGATGGCTGTCCAGGCGCTGGGCCGCACTGCGCAGCCTCGCCGCCAGGCCTGGAGACAGGCGACCCGCCCAGGCGTGGAGGAGGGCGCGATCCTCCTTGCGTCGAAGTCGCGCTCGATGGTGGGCGGCGGCCTCCCTGGGAGCCGCCGTCGCGCGAGCGCTAGTCTCAGCGCGCGTCGGGAGCCGAATCCCCCTCGCCTGCACCCCGCAGGCGCCCGAAGGGGGGCGGCAGCCCCTCGCGAGCCGAAAAACTGGGGGAGGAGGAGGAGGAGGAGGAGGAGCAGGAGGAGGAAGGAGGAAGTGCAGGATACGATACGATACGACACACTTACGATCCACTGGCAGTCTGACTGAGCAACGCAATACTACACATGAGAGAAAGCGGAGCCTGGATGTACATCTGCTGGATCTGTGTACGCTGTCAAGAGCGTCTGTCCAGATCGCTCTGCAGGGGGATGCCTCTGGCCAAATCCGAGAGCCTCCGAAAAGGGGAAACCTGGAGGCCTCGGCTAGGCACCGCCCCACAGCTGGGCGCACAAGCGACGTCGAGAGGCCACTTGCATGCATCGTGATATGGAAGAAATGAACCGATGCGACTACACACACACGCATGCTGCACAGTATGCACCTGCAGCAGAAGGTGGGCCCAGAACAGAAAATGACCCCCGTGCCTGAAGGCCGCCCAGTCCCACCTCATGGCTGGGGATTGGAAGTCCTGTCATCATCGCCCAAGGCTTGCGAAGGCAACTGGTAGAAGTCAGGATTGGCGGGCGCGCTCACGAGTCCATGATGGGCCTGATCGCCGATGCAATTGCAATCTGAGGGTCCACTCGCATCTGCACAGCTCGAACCTGAGAAGTTCGCCTGACCAGATCAAGCAGGGACATAGCGAGGTGCAACTGATTCCCATAACAAAAACCAGAATTCATGCCCAGTTGGAATCTGATAACTCAAGATTGGCTCAGCGCACCCATTCTGCAGATTGTAAACCAGTATGCTGTAAAAGGTCATCGCGAGCCATTTGAACCATGCGAGCAGATCCTTTGATGGCAACCAGCGTAGCTAACACAGCCCCTCGTCCTCGTGCCCGCGGAGCTGCTCGTCCTGGCCCTTCTGCATGCCGAGCTTCCCGAGGAGGCGCTCCGCTTTGCGCTCGAGCCCCCCCTTTGGGGGGGGCCCAGGCTTGCGCTGGCCCCCGTGCGCGACCAGGCTCTGGCACATGGCTTTGCGCGCGCTGCCGACCTGCTGCCCGTTCCAGGTGACCATGCCCGCCTGGGCCTCCACAGAGAGCACGAACTGGAGTTTGAACGTGGTGGGCTTCTCCTTCTTCTTGCGATTGTAGTGCGTGGGCCTCATGCGGCAGTGCCTCACCTGATCCTGCAGCACCTGCAGGTTGCTCTCGCCGTGGGCGACGTTCGAGCCCCATTAGACCTAAAGAACTGCTTTGGCCTTCTCGGGGGTGTTCGGGTTGAGGAGGAGAGCCCTGGCCAGCGCCATCCACATGCGTGGCCGCGGAGGGCCCAGCCCGTGCGCCTTGCTCTTCTCCTTGCACGTGCTGGAGTAGAGCTTGCCCGCCTCTTGCGGCGCTATCGCGATGAAGTGTGCAGCGGGAAGCAGAAAACAGCTGAACGAGGCGCCGATCAGGTCGGCTACGTCGCGCGAGTTGGCGATGCGTGGCCTGGTCAGCCGAGCTGAGCTGCCTAGCTGCGTGGTCTCTATGGTCTTGCGGGTGTCCTTCTTGACCTTCTCGAGCTGCGACTTGCACGGGCTCTTGGCCGCCAGTTCTCCGCCCCCGTCGCAAGGCCTGCGGAGAGGTAGACCCCAAGTTGGCAGAGCTGGCCCCTGCCCTTGGCTCGCCGCCGCCGCTGCTGGGAGCTCCGCCGCCGCTGGCCCATCTGGCATCGCAGACAATTGGGAGCAGAGTGAAGTGTTCACGGCAATGTAGATGTAGTGCGTCACGCTCGAGCCCGCATAGATTACATAGTCAACGCGTGTGCGTAGCATGAGCTCCGCCCCCTGCTGTGCGAAACGCATTAGACCGACCCATAACGCATATGCCTGTGCGGAACGATGTCTTAACATGCTTGTAGGCCGGGCTGCGCGCCTCGAAGACCTGACCACAGACGAAGCATTGATTACCAATAGTTAGGAGGCCCAATATGCTCTGAAGCCCGTGCCCTTGCTGCAGATGACAAGTAAGTTGCCTTTGCGTTGCAAATCTACGCCCACATCCTCGAATACAGCATGCGCACTCGTCGTCATCATCGTCGCGCGGATCTTGTTGGAAACCTGCAGGGGCCTCAGGAACCTGCAACCCTGGGGGGGGGCACTAACTGTCCAGGGCGCCGCCCGAAGTCCACTCATATCCAGCCTGCCAAACCAGTCTGAAAGATCAGGGTCGTCAAAAAACGCCAGAGGTCGGGAGTCCCAGTCGTCGATTTTGTCTGGGCGCCGCCCCCCCCCCCCCCCCAGCTTACGGAGCGACTCGACATCTGCAACAGACCTGCGTGCCCACGGAGACGCGCGCTGCGTAAGCTGACCCGATTCACCAACAATCTGTATGCCGCGCTCGCGCTCTGCACGGATTGGGAAGAAAAGAGCACCCCAGTCAGCAACATGATAGCGAGGCTGCTGGACCCACTTCTGATACCCTTCAGCCTGCAGGCTCTGAGTTCCGTCTCCAAGGGAGCGACTCGCCAAAGCTGGAGCACGCGCAATGAAGAGGGTAGAGCGGTGGTGATCACGATGCCATTCAGTGGCCGCTCTTGCGACGCTCGACGGCCAAACTCAACTGTTTTGCTCTGCCACTTCAGAACTGACTTGGGCGCGGGGAGGAACGCCTCAAGAGGAGACACTGCAGGACCGACAGCCATGCTGAGAAACATTGCTCTCCGTTCAATATGCGGGATCCTTGGGGTGCACCAATGCTTACCCATGGACAAGTAACCAGCCGTGATTGCATCCAGTCGCGCGTGCAGTTCACTATTGAATTTGCTGTCGTGCCGCACAAGTGCGCCTAAATACCTTGAGCTATCATTCGGGGTACCTGCCATAGGAAGTGCCTGGCTCTTGACGACCTGCTTGCGAGTCTGCTGCCCTCGACCTTGGAACGAGACGACCGACTCATTCTTAGCGGGGTTGAACATATAGTTACGCTTAGCGAAGCACTCGCTGAAGATCTGATTATAGTGCATGGGCTGCCTGCTGAGGGCGACGGCGCCATTTCCAGACAAGTCTGCGATCAGCTTTCGCAGCGCGCCATCCACGTAGCCGTGGAACGATGAGTCCAACTGCAGGGGCCCATGCCCTTCAGGCTGCAGATCAACCGCGCAGAGTTGTGCAGTGGACTCACCAGGTTCAGCAAATACCGCCTGCGCCTCCTCAAAGCAGTCTCCTATATCACGTGCAAAAACTTTGACCGCCCACGGGCCCCCTCGCAGTGCCCCCACCCAGGGTTTGGCAAAACGATAACCATCACGTCCTCGAACACAGACAGCTGAAAATTTAAACCCCTGGTCCCTGTGCATGCGCCCCCCCCCCCCCCCCCCCCCCCCCTCATCGCCCCCGCGCTGGCCCTGGCCAAAGAATCCCAGCTGGTGGACCCGAACGCGTTAGTGAGATCCTTTTGGCCATTGGCGAATTCATAGCCAAGCTTGCGCAGCCTCCAGCCGAGCGCCCGCCGCGCCAAAAGCGGCGTTTCTCGCCGGTGACGAGAGACGCATCCGTGAGACGAGTGGGTCCCTCGCCCTTCCCCGCGGGGCCAATGCGCGTGGATATGAGCGCTTTGCCAAAGGGGCACAGGACATGTACTGCACGCTTCCAAGATAAAGCTGCTGCCTGGGATAAGTGCCAGACCAGAGGGGCCTGTCGGGGCCGTCGAATTTTGCGCGCGAAGGAGACCGGGAATCCACGAACAGTTTGCAACTGGATGTCAGGAGCTTCGCAACCCGCCCCTCGGAAACGCTTAGCCGCGCGGCGAAGCGGGAATAAGATCATCCAAAACAGTGCTAAAGGCGCATGCCACTCTGGAGCAGCCCGTCGACGACCTGCCTTCTTGATGCATTGCCTAACTTGTCGCAGCTTGTCTTTGGCCCACTGGAGGCCCTCCTCAGTATATTGCCCCAAAGAATATTGCGCTTCTTGTCCGCGTTCGTCGCCATATAGGCATTCGTCGGCGCAGGCGGGCCAGTCCGCTACAGTTGCAGCCGTGCCTCCCTGAGGCGCTCGGAGGAGCCACCTATCCTGTAACTCCCTGCTGGGCGGGAGGGCCACTGGTGGACGTCGATGGTTCCACTTGTTTGGCCCCGCCCCCCTAGCAGGGAACATCCGAGATAGCCTGGCCACCTCAGCCTGCCGACCTAACTTCGTTGCCTCGCGCAGCTCGCCAGTGATATCTGACCTCCACTGCTTGAGATACTGGCGCCGAAGAGACCTCAGGCGTTTGCTGAGGAGATAAATCTGCCGCGCAATGCGATCGAACTCTTCCGACGACACTGCAGACAGTGACATGCGCAAGTTACGCCTTTGTGTAAGGAAAGAAAGCATCTGCTGGGCCTTCTCGGGGCAATCAGATGAGCGCTGCACATTCTTCGCAAAGAGCGCCCCCCCCCCCCCCCCCCCCCCCCCCCCCCCCCCCCCCTCCCCCCCCCACCCCCCCCACCACTGCACGGAGAACATGAATACAATACCCCCTATCCGCATTCGGCGCCTGCCCCTCCCCCCTGATCTGCTTCCATTGCTCCTGCTCGGCCTGAAGAATAGACCCGAGCTCCTGCAATAATTCAGCGCGACACGTGCCAAGCCTCGGACTGTCCATGAGAGCCTCCTCATTCCAGCGCACAAGCCTAGGAGCGAACCCAAGACGATAGTTCGGCTGAAGACCGAGCACCTCGCTACCTGCAGTGGCCTGCAAAGAATATTCAAATCTAGCACGCACAGGGATGTGGTCGCGATGCTCGCGATGCCGTATGAGCTGAAGCTGCCGCGCGACCCCTTGGAGTGTTCCAGCCGATGTGATCTGTGGCAGGGAGCAGCGAGGTATAAATATATAATCTATAAGCGACGTGACACCTGCCGAGCCGACACGCGCGGGGCCAACACCCATATGCAGATTGACTGGGACCAAGCCAAACATCTGAATAAAGGGCAACATCGCATCAGCAGAATGGCGCTGACAACCTAGCCAGTTAGAAGAGCCAAAGCGATCGTCCTGCACAGGGGCCCAGTCCTCACTGCCACATAGCCGCTGCTGCCCACAAGCCGAATGCATATCCATTGCCAATGCTGGAAAGCATCTGGGTATTCCAAAGATGGCTCCACATCCAGTTGACTATAAGATCACACGTTTTCACATACGCAGGGAACTCTGACGCTCGCGAAGGCGGAGGTGGGAAGCACGCACACACAATGCCGAGGTCGCACTGACTAGTACGCGCACGCACGACCACGGCCCGTCCTGAAATGTGAGGTGGCGATGCCCACGCATGAGTGATGGACCGCTTGTGGATACGAGGGCCAAGCACAAAGCTACACCCTGAAGCGCGATTGCTGCCAGCTGCTCGTGCCCACCCTGCTTCAATCGCCCATCTCCTCCCCGCCCGTCTCCAAACAATATCTTGCTTCCCATACTTCCGAGCATCCGTCCCAGTCAAGCACACAAAATCGAACTTGGTAGTGACAGCAGAGATGTCGAGAAGCCTGTCGTGCGATGCGGCCGACATCGGGTTGTACTGCAGCACAAAAGTGCCATTCATGACGCACGCGCTGACTCCTGGCGGCCAGCAGCGATCCTCGGCGAATCAACGCTCAAAGGGAGAGTCCCATGAGGATGTCCATCAAACCTGCGGCGCTGTGAGCACCGTCGAAAAAAGGATCTGTGGTGGAGAGGAGAAATGAAACTGCGTTATCAGATGCGCACCCCCCCGTCTGGGCCGGGGGTGCTTAAGAAGAGGAAGAAGAAGAGGAGGAGGAGGAGGAGGAGGAGGAGGAAGGGCGGCCTGAGGGCCCAGGTGAGCCAGGCAAGCGTCGGGGCCCGATCCGCCGTGGCCCCGAAGCGTAGAGGCAGAGGGGAAACCATGGCATAGCACGGTGTTGAAAATCAACGCGTAGCCTGACATAGCGTAGACTGGCGACGCCCCAGTGGGGGGGCTTCTGCGGCCCTGAAAATTAACGAATCGGCACCGAATGTGGAATCACTTCCGATGGTCGCTTCGGGGTGCAATGTTCTAGATCTTGGGGCCATTTATAAGAACCGAAAACTATGCCGTGGCATGGCGTTGGACATAATGACGCCAATTCTGCATCGGGAACACGATTCGGAACGAGCTGAAGCGCGGAAATGAGGCCACCGCTGAAGCGGGAGCACGATTCGGAACGAGCGGTAGCCCGAAAATGAGGCCAACGTCAGCGAGAGCAGAATGTAGAAAAAAGCCCAAGCGAAAACCCAACACCCGGGAATCCTGTGTGTGAAAGAACCAGAACGCGGAAGGGGGGCAGACATTTACCGGACGCCATCAGGGGAGGGAGGAGATTAGTATTCAGATTGTGTAATTGCGAAGGGGAAGGGTGGGAAGGGGAGAGGGGGAGGGGATGGGGGGGGAGGGGGGGGGAAGGGGATGAGGGGAAGGGGGGGGGGTGCGAAAGGGGAGGAGAGGGATTGGGGGGGGAGAGGGATGGGGGGGGCAGGGGGGGGAGGGGAAAGGGGGGGAAGGGGGGGGGAGGGAAGGCGAAAGGGGAGGAGGAGGCGACAGCCGAGCAGCCCAGCGGCCTCGGCGGCCCCCCGCCGCCAGCGGCGGCGGCCGCGAGCAGGGCGCGGAGTTCACGGTCTTCGACGCGCCCGCCGTGGCCCTGAGGGGAAGGACGAAGACAGCAGGACGGGGTGGCAGTCCCCGCTCCTCCTCCTCCTCC